CTTTCGTTTGTGTGCATGTGTAGTCATACCAACAACAAATTTAGTCTGAAGTCCTGAAGGACAAAATACATTACAAATAAACTTTTTACACTTTGTCATACAATTTCATTATATATATATATATATATATATATATATATATATATATATATATATATATATATATATATGGTATGATGGATAAATTGTTGCCTAAATTATGCAAAAATGAAAATAACACTGACATCTCATTTGAACAGATACGTTTACCAAAATTGCACAAAATTATCATGAAATAATAAAGTCTAAATTTATTAAAAAAAAAAAAAAAAAAATTCCTGTTGGCTTCAACCATGGCCTCCAGACAACCTTGGAATCTCCTGCAACTCTTCTGCACAGTCTCCTTGTTTAAATTGGTGAATGCTGCCATAATCCTTGCCTTCAGTTAATCTTTGGTGCTAAAGGAGTTTTGTTGGTCTCGCTCAACTGTGCCCCACATATAATGATCAAGGGGGTTGCAGTCTGGGAAGTTAGGTGGCCAGATGTAAGGGGTGTGTAGTCACAGAAATTGTCTGACAGCCATGACTGGGTTCTTCTGCTTGTGTGGCATGGTGCAGAGTGCTGTTACCAGACATGGAGTCTTCCAGCAGCCACCCTCTTGACCTGGGGCAGCACTACCTCCTCAAGACACTTGAGGTAGGTCTTTGTGTAGAGTCTGAGGCTCTGTGGGAAGATGAATGGTGGCGTAATGTTATCATCACTGTTGATCACTACAAACACCTTTTAGATTCATCCAATTCTTTTAAAACCCTCTGCACTGTCCTCAGATTGATACCCAAACATTCTGAAATGTCTGTATTGGAGCTTCTGGTGTGAATGCCAAACAGTACAGCATGCCATTTCTGATGGAGTGAATTGTGTCATGGTGCTCTTTTTCTCATGTACGGTGCCCAACTGACCCTACTATACTGTGCAGTCGACAAAATTAAAAACAAACAAATACATAAAATGGAAACAGTTTACCCATCGCACACTGTATATGCACACACATTTTTTTCTTTCAGTAATGTTTGTCTTGACCAATGACAATCTTTTCCCAGTTTTTTTAATACACACTTAAGTTTGGTGCCAAAACCTGTTATTGGGGTGTATCAAAAGTATTTGGGTGATGATATTTATTTACTTTTTTTTTTTATCATCTTTTAAAGCGTTTGTATGTTTTTTTTTGTTTTTTTTTTTTTAATCTGAGGTTTGTATCATATAATCCTTCAATAATCTCTTTGTGTGTGGGTTTTTTTTTGTGTGTGTGTGCTAGTGAACAGGTTCTACTCTGCCTTGCATTTTAAAACATCATAACAACTGATGATCACCCAGTTCTGGGCTTTATCCAAGAAACAAAACACCACCTTTAAACTTCCACTTCCAAAATTCTGTGAGCAGCTTTGAAATAATGCCTTAAATTTACCAGAATCACAAAACTTATATCTGAAAAAAAAAGTGCAGTTGAATAGTATCATGCACACACACACACACACACACACACACACACACATATATCTCAAGATGTGTATGTGAAAAAGTTTTCAAATAAACTTCTGTGAAAATACTGATATATCCTAATAATTTTCTTTGGAATGCATTAATTTTAACTCACTAACCAGAAATTGTTAATGCACAAAGGCTAAGAAGGAATATCAGTAAAGTCATCAGAAATTATATTTCATAATATAAGAACAAAATTTTGCTATTTAGTGCACAATATGGTCTTCATATCATTGACTGTGTGTGTGTGTTTTTTTTTCTTTCTTCAATAACCAGGTTGAAAATTAAGATATTCTGTTAATTATTCTGTAATTCTTAATTATTGTATCATTCAACTAGGACTTACGGCCACATCATGTTGAAAAACGTTTTGGTATGATCACCAAAATTAAACGACGTTAGGCCTAGTCCGTACCTAGATGGGTGATTGCTTGGGAATACCAGGTGCTGTAAGCTTGGATGTGCAGGTGGTGTAATGGATAATGGCTCAGAATTGTTCATTGGAGAGCAGAGTTTCAATTTCAGTTCGGTTTGTTATATTCAATTGCACAAATACCTTTGGGTATGGTATGAATCCACTCCCCCATCTATGGATTAATTAGTAAGATTTGTGTCAGTAAATCATTATTTAAAAAAAAAATTCTTACAATCTAAAAATATTTTCTGGCTTTAAATAACCTGTAGTTTTTAAGCCATAGAAAACAAATCAATCACATCTTTTCTGATGTCGAATTATCCTGACATGGAATTATTTACTTTTAAGAAATTTTTTAAGTTATTTATGCTAGTTTTATATTTGGCATTATATTTAAATATTTGATCCTATCGTATAACTAGATGCAATTTCCATATACATGAGGGTTTTAAGTGTTTTTCAATCAAAATAGGATAAAAATTACAAAGGAATTTACATTATTTTCAGATCTTTATCCTATCTTCATCTGAAAGATTCAGTTTAATTATTGAATCTTTTTAAATGTAAACTTTAGTTTCTCATAAATTCCAGATATCACATTTTTTCTTATAATTAATATTAAATGACTTCACCAAGACTTAATTTTGTTATACATGCATAAGCTTAGCAGATTAAAAATGTTTTCTGTAATGTAAAATAACCAACATTTTAATTGCTAAACTTATGTCTCTTCAATTTTTTTTTTTTCAAGTTTATTTTAAGCCTGACTCATTTTGAAGAACTTCCTTCACTGAATATGGAAATGGTGATTTATGTTAAATTTTCTTTAAAAAACTTATGAATTTTGAGACAATTTTTATCTCGATTGTTAGCTTACCTGAAAATCAAACCTGAGCATTAAATAAAAGTAATTTCCTGTATTGATTTTTTTCCCCCTTAAATGAAATTTAAATTGAATATTTTTAGTTTACTTGCATTATAAATTTGTTTTTTCTTAAACAGGTGATATATCTGATTTGATTTTAGATCCATTTTTCAATCCAGGAACTCTTATGGAAAAGGTACTTTGTGTACTTTGGTCGGTTTTTGAATTAACAAATACAAGCATTTAAAGGCAAACTACGTACTAAAAACATTTGTTTGACTTTCTTGTTTGCTTCAATTGAAAGCTTAAAATCTAATATATCATTCTCTTTTTCTCTCCTGCCTGCCCCCCCCCACACAGCTGTGATTGTTGTAATGTAGTAGATTGAAAACCAAAAAAAAATTAGTTGTAAATGACTTCTGTGACTAAAAAAAATCATATAATTTTATCAGATTATTATGAAAAGTATTTATAACCCTCGTAAAAACTGGTTTGAGTTTCTAGACATCAACTGGAGTTAAAAATTATGTTTTTAAGTTTGTGCACATATAAAATCTGTAATTACTGCAGATTTTAGCATGTCAATTGGTGAATTTCCTGGTCATATTTTTTTAAGATGTTTGATGAAAATGATTGGACTAAATGTTGAAAATAAATCTGGATATCAACATGCAGTCGGTTTTGTTTTGGGCTGACAAAAAAAAAAAACAAGTTTGTCTTTTTTTACAAACCTGCAAATAAAGCAAAAAAAAATGAAAATAAGTCAAGCTAACGATTCCAATTATGGAGACAAAATAGAGAAGTCAGGAGTTAAAATATATGGACTCATCTCGCATTCATCATAGGCTGTTATTTAATTTGAGTATTTCTACTTTTGGTAGTTTACTTTATATTCTTTATTGTTGCATCATCAAGGAGTTGAACCTCGAGCAAAAAGAAAGTGGTTAGGTTTGTTTTGATTAATTGCAACTCTACGACGGGTATTTCGTTGTAGTGTTATGATTAACAAGCTGGTTTTGCAGACAATAGAATTGAATTTACTAACTGGATACACCACACTTGTGTCAAAAGTAAACAACTTCGTGAAAAGAAAGGGGGATAATTTAGTAAAGGATGATTTTACACTTGCCAATATAATGGCAAGTTTAGGCAACACAATTATGTATTTTTGACAAAGGATGCTCATTATTAAATACTAATTTGGCTAATATATGTCAAATGGTTATAAAATTTCTAATAGCAGACAGATATATACAATTTAAAAATAGTCTTACCTAAAAATTAAAGCATTAAAGGTTTTATTGAAAATTATTTACTTTTTTGTTGTCTTATGCTCTTTTTAAGAGTAATAAAAATGCATTTTTCTTACAAAATAAAATTCAAATTTAAAATAGTATTTACACTTCAAATTTTATCGTACTATATTTAAAAAATCTTTTTAAGTGTTAAAAATTAAAATGTACTTTAAACTTAAAATCATGGCCTTGTGCTAGTCTGGCACGAGGCTATAATTTGGGTGAACTCACTACAGTACACGTTAATAATGATAACTTAGACTAAAAATCTAACCATTATAGTCTGACGTGAGGAAAGAACACTAAGAACATATACACATCATATATATATATATATATATATATATATATATATATATATATATATATATACACATGTACGAAACGCGATATTGCTTCCTTAAATTAATTTTATGGACTTTTGTCGAACTTAGTTAAAAATAAAATTGTTTTCATTTGGTGTAATTAACGTTACGCTTTTAAATTTGTCACGAATAAAGTTTGTAGCTTGAGAATGAATGTCATATTGTAAGTATCAAGGAAGTAAATTAAACATAGAAAATGAGTTTTTGAATATTGTTCTGACAAGACTTTGTTTCAGTCAGTTTCTGGCTCTGTTATGTAGTAGTAATAGTAGTGACAGCAATCCAAGTCCTCTTCCAAACAATGCATTTTGCCCCGTATTGCTCCCAGCAATAGAGAAGAACAAGGAGTATAGACTGCAGATTACTGGAGAATCAAAGATAAGGGAGAACATAAAATCAAGTTTACAACGGTGATTATTTAAAAAATAAAATAAAATAAAAAGAAAAGCAGAGGTGTGGTCATATGTCCAAGCAATCAGATTCGATTCTGATATCACGTGGTTGCATCGCTTTCTGCGAACCCTTTCTCCATCTCTGAGCCCAATCTCCATCGCAATATAAACCACACAAACTGTCCCTTTTTTTCGTGCCTTCTTATCTTTTTCTTTCTCCTATCCACTTTCCCCCCTTTACCCACTTTTTCCTTGTCCTCTCGTTGTCCCTTTATTGTTCCGTCCCCTTTTATTTTCCACGTTTCCTCTTTTTCTCCCATTTTTTGCTGTCCCTGACATTTCCTCGTCACCTCATTTTACTCATCTTCTTCTTCCTCATGCTAATTCTTTCTCAGCAGTTCCACAACAATTTATTCATTCCAAGTCCAAGATGGCTCTCCACAGACGTCAGATAGTCAACCAGGACAACTTAAAGGACTATTTGGATAATATTTCAGAGTTTCGACTAGGCAGAATAATTCGTAAGGGTCGAGAAGTTAAAAATAACATTGTCTACGTGGAGAAAAGCGAAAATGGCTTTTTATCAGACCGCGTTCGTCTCCGTCACTCATTATTAGTAGACCACGAACAACCGTCTCCATCATCGCATGGTCGAAGGATTTGGGTGGCCAAGGAAATTCTTATGTGCAGTGGACATGTGAATTGTCAACGCGACTGTGGGGGCATGGGCAGCTGTCTTGATGGTAGGAATCACTTTTAAGTTAACAGCAACGATCAAGATACATTTTTTAAAAAAAAAATAGTTTCTATTTATTTTATTAGTTGTAACAGGGGTGAAAGTGAAAGTAGACTTTACGCAAATGAAAACTTAGAAAACTATCTTTTTAGGTTTCGCTTTTGAAAGAAAGTAAAATAAAGCTAAGCGTGAATCTCTATTGATTTTTTTTAACATTCGTTCGTCAATAGTAGTCCCAATTTTTTTTTTTTTTTTTTTTTTGAGAAATCGGAACTCCTCCTTTTAAGAATGTTCCTCATATTTCCTTCTCTTCTTTTTATTTATTTTTTGCAGTTTCCGATTTCTGTTCGTTTTCAAACCTTGAAGAATTTTCTGAAAAATGGTTTTCATGCTGAAAATTGACTAAGAAACAATCGCTTTATTTTTATTTTTATTCTATTAATTTTTTGCTTTTCGTATTTTAAAAATACCTTTTTTTTTCTGTATTTCGGTAAGGAGAACTTTTTAATGATGAAAAATAGCTGATTTAAGCCTAAGTAGTAAAGTAACCCCATTTTTTTACTACATCTTTCTTACAAATAAATTGGGTTTTGAAAAACGGAATTTCAATAATTATTTTTCTTAGAGCGCTTATGAGTAATAATTCTGAGAGAATGGCGAATATAGGCATCATCGTTATCGTTTTTTATTACACATTCTCATACAAGAAGCAAAAACAAAAAAAATTAATATTCATAATTCTTCATTCTTTGTCTATCGTGAATTTTAATCTAAAGTTTATGACAAAACTAAAAAACTAGTCTAAAAAAGCGTATCAAATTTATAAAATTGGACTAAGATTAATCCACATAATAAATATTCGAATTTAAATTTTTTTTTTTTTAATCTATTTGCAGTTTATATAAAAAAGACTAAATTTAAGAAAAGGCGGTGCGCTCATGTCTGTTGAATTTAAAATTCTTTCAATTTTAGTTTAGAAAAAAGCACTTTTTCCTTGTTCTTTGGAATTATAGATTTTTATTTTTTAAAAGAAACTGCCGGCTGACCAACAAATTTTCATTGATTCTTTTGTTTTATTGTCATTAACTGTGGCGTCCAGACGAAACAACAATTTATTTTATTTTATTTTTAAGATTTTCCAGTCTTCCATATTATTTGCATAAAATTCTTTCGATGCAGACATGAAATAACAAAAGTACAAAATATTTGGGGGGTCTTCTTACTCTTTCTTATTTGAATTAATAGCAGCTTTTTTTTTTTTTTTTCAACATGTTTTTTTTACCTATGACTTCTTTTTTTTTTTTTTTAGGGATTCTTTATTTACAAATTTATGTAAAAACGTTGAGCAAAAACAAACAATTCTTACCTTCTTACTTACTCTTACAGATTTTGATGAGTGCATAATGCACTGTGCATTGTTTATTTAATGAATGAAAAAACATTTTTAAAAAGTTAAGAAAAAAGAAAATCTTTACATGAGATTTAAAAAATAACTTTTTAAAAAAGAATACTTTTTTTACGGATATTTAAAATTTAAAAAATAACTTTTAAAGAAAACAAAACAACGAATACTTGTTCTTTTTACGGGTCTTATATAGCATCTGGTTGTTTGTGTACGCATGATGGTATTTTATTGATAGTTTGCAACAACTTTATCATTCAATCATTTATTTTTGAAAGCTTTAAAAAATAATTAAGTTTGTTTTCATATCTTGGAAAATCTTCCATTTTCCTGGAACAACCATAAAAACAGTTTTAAATTCAAGTGAAAAAAAATTGTTGACATATTTAATTTCTTTTTCTTTCCTTTTTAATTTTATTCTTCTTTTAAATGTGTAAATAATTTGTTTACCCAAAATGATTTATTTTCCAAAGTAAAAAAAAAAAAACGTAATAATGTTTTAAATTCAAAACAGTGGTCTATCTTAAATGAAAAGTGATTAAACGAAAAGACACATAAAATTGCAAATAATACACAAATAATTTTAAAAACTTTAAACCCCTTGTACTTTATTTAATTAATCAACCCGTTAAATTCTAATTTGTGCAAAAGTAGATCAAAATTCGAAACTTATGAAGTGAAAGACTAGACCTCAATGCCTGAACCAGCGTTCACTGTTAATGGACAATTACTTATTACTCTCTTTAAAGTATTTAATTTTCTAGTTAAAAAAAAAATTGAAAGAGGTTCTTACAGAACTGAATATTTTCATGGCTAATTGTTCATATTCATCCCTGAATGGAAGTTTTATTTTTAACTTTTTAGACAAAATTTGGGTTAAGTAAGTAGTAAATAAATGATTCATGAAATTAAATTTTTTTCTCCTTTGATTGAAATAAACCTGATCTATTAAAGTAGTTATATAAAAACCATATATAGTAATTATAAACCCTTTACTGTCAGATTAAAACAATAAATTTTTATAATTACCAACTCAATTTAAAAAAATTATTAAGACATTATAAATTCTTTTACTTTTTTTAAATTAATTTTGTTAAGAGGAAACTGGGAGTTGTTTTTGTAAAATAGCACATTACTTTTCATGGGCTTTGGGCCATGAAAAAGAATTTGGTGTAGTTTTTTCAACATATTAAACTTGCAGGGTGACTGAGTTTGTGTCTGGGTCACTAAAGCCATCTACTTAAGTGTTACAAAACTTCATATCACAATTAGAAACAAGAAAAAATTAAAAAAAATGAAAGACTCATAAATTTGGTCCAATTTTTAACAGTTAATTTTAAAGATATAAACTTTAATTCCTGGAAAAATCTAAACTCTTCCTCACAGATTGAAACCAATCACTTTAACTTCAATATGATGACATACAGAACAATAATTTATAACTGTCTTCAATTAAAACAATAGACAAACATTTAGCTTAGCTGAAGAGTTACATGAATTTTATAGAAATTAAGATTTTTATTAGCAAATCTAAAGAAACTTAAAATGCAATAAAAGCCACAAAGACAAGGATTATCTGAATGAATCCATTTATAATAATTAATCCGTATTTGATTTTTTAAAAAATTGATTTTTTTAAACATCCTGAAATGTTTTCAAGATGTACAATAATATCAAAATATCTTTATCTTTGCTTTTTACATTTTTTGCATTTTATTTATTGATAGTTACTAAATGTATTTTAGTAAATTTTAAGTTTATCATAATCATGTATTTTATGTATATTTAAATTTAATTATATAAACTACATAAATAAAATTCTTAAGTAGAAAATACAAGAAATTATTGTAATAATTTTCTATAAATATATATCAAATACATATATAGATAGATAGCTAAAATGAAATTTTGAAATTGATATTACAAGTATATATCTTAAATGGATTTTACTAAATTTCAAAATGTATTTTAAAAATTAAATATAGGCAAACATCAGATTTTTTTGAATGGCTTCTTGGTTGGGTTGAAAACTTTTCAGTGCTCTCTCGTATTTTATGCATATATTTTAAATATATTTTAAAAGTAATAATTCATTGTTAATCTATATAGTCCTTGAATATTGTTTGTTGATAATTATTTTATAGTCTATATTTCATTTGTTGATAATTAATATTTGTAGTCTACATATCATTCATTGGTTTTATTATATTGTCTTTGTACAGATTGTTCAAAGAAGGATGAAAAACGAGCTAAAAGTGGACATCGTTGTTCATTCCGAGTAAATATTCGAATGTATCTCCATAATATTGGAAACTGGGAAGTTGATGTAATGGGACGACATGTTCCTCCTGATCATGTATGGATTCCTCCAAAAAAGGATGTTATTAAGAAGATGAAGGTAAATATCACATACATATTTATTTCCAAGTAGTATTCAGTAATAGACTGACAGTGGAAAGTTGAGATTTTCCCATAAAGGTAAGATTTAGTAGTATACAGGGTGGCCCAAAAGTGAATTTACTATAATACTATAAAATAAAAAGCACTTAAAATAAAACAATAACAAAATTGATAAAAATATATGAATATAAAAAAAAACATTAAAAAACTGAAAAAACAACTGTATTAGATTGATTGATTGATTGTTTTTATGGCTTATCTACCTTTTGCAGGTTATTTTAAGCCAGAAACTATTTTTAGATTGTAAAAATTTTTTTGTAGATAATAATGATTCACTGATACACATTCTACTGGAGAAAAGAGTTGGATTCCGACCGTTCACAAGGTTATTTGTGTATGAGTGAACATAACAAACCTGATTGGAATTGAAACTCTGTTCTCTGATTTCCAATTCTGAGCTGTTATCCATTATGCCACCCACACATGCCTAAGATTACAGCATTTGGTATTCCCAAGCAATCATCCATTTAGGTACTGACTAGGCTCGACATTGCTTAACTTCAGTAATCATACAAGAACCAGCTTTTCAATGTGATATGGCCATAAGTTACAACTATATTTGAGCTGAAATATAACTGTTTATAAAATAGTTTTATAGTGAAGTATCTTTTGGATCACCTTGTACATGATCATACTTTAGAAAATAAAAACTTAAATTTTCCTATTAGAACACTGGAAACCTTCTCTCAGGTGAACAATCTAATACTTAAAAAATCTGATATGTTACTTTGTTATATGTATGAGCATTTGCTTTAATTCAGTGGTTAGGATACATGTTTGTTTATTGTAAATTCTTTGGTGAGTGCTGCATAGATATGAGTTTTTACTAAATTTTATTTCCTCAAATAGATATTAAAATAAATATACTTTAGGCAATTAAATACAAAAAGAATGAAGAAAGAATCTTCAGTTTAAATTTTGTGCCTCCAAAAAAAAAGTATGTCAAAAGGATGATTGTTCCCTTGATACTGCTATTACTGTATACACTTTTAACTTCTTTGGCAATTTCTTTTGTTTTAAAAGTGATGATTAGAATTTTAATAAAATCCAAACATATGAAAGCAGATTTATACATTTTCTTTATTTTTGAGAATTGACAACAAAGATATTAAACAACAATATGTGAACCAACTATAATGAAATATTTATTATTTACTATTTTATAAAGAAATAAATATGAAAAAAAAAATTTTTGTTCATAAATTTATAAAAATGTCTGTGAACAAGAAAATTTAAATAGACACATAACAAGTAAGTGTAATTATAAATTTTGAAAAAAAATCTATTTTCTGGGAATTTCTTTCATTTGCTCTCACCACATAAATACACTAAACTAGGTTGAGAGCATTTTATAAATTTTTTAAAATTTTGAATAAAAAGATTTCTTTTCATATTTATTTCTTTAGAAAATGGTAAATAATATTTCTAAAAGGTAAATATCACATCTTACTTGGTTCACATATTTTCATAATCTTGTAAATAAACATTGCAAAAGTGTATACAGTAATAGCAGTGTCAAAAGAATACCCATCCTTTTGATACCGTTTTGTTTTGTGGGCATGAAAGTTAAACATTGCCAAATATTTTATTTCCCAAAATTAAAAAAAATATCTGGGTAGTGTTGTATTTTTTTTAAAGTTTTATTTGACATAACCTTCAAACCTCTGTTTGTATTACCAGAAAATCTTTTATTTTTTGGTTATTCTTTTTTGATAACAACTTAAATATATAAAACAGACATCAAAATTTTCATTCACTAATCAGTATATTTATTTCGATACAACAAATACTAAAAGCACATTGAAAATTTATTATAAATGATTTTATTATAGAAATGCATTGCAAATTATTTATTTACTATTTATGTAAATGATAATGGGGCACACAATCGTGGTCATGAGTTCTGTCACCCATTAGGATCATAGATGCCCTACATGTATTGTGGATGTAGCAACAATGGGTGTGTCTAGTGCAAGATAACCGGACAGAGTTCATTCCCCTTTACGTTGGTTTTGAATTCAGACTTATCCTTCTAGATTGATTACTCTTGCCAAGCCAAATGACTTTATTATTGCAAATGAAGAAAAAAAGGAATGTCAGTACTTAGAAATGTATGCAAGAATATTGACAGTATTGGGCCATTATAATTCTCCAGGTATCTCACTGTGGAGTAATCGTTAGCAGTGTTTTCTCTCAGAATGTTACTACTGAGTAATGAATTAGATCTTCACTGAGTGCTTTATACCCGCAACCTCATACCAACCTAAACACAATTTTATAAATATATCCAATTTACCATTGAGCACAAAAATGATAGAAAGACAGGACTTTGTACTATCAATTAAAGTAATTTTATATATTTTGTACTGGGAGAATATGATATATAAATTTCTATATATCAGAACAATGTTAAGCAATTCAAGGACAAAGTGGAAAATACTTTGTACTTAAAATTGTTTGATATGATTTTCTTAAAAAAAATAGAAAAATATTACTTGCTGTTTGAAATAGCTTTAACCTTATTCATTTTAATGTAAAAGAGAATTGAAAACGTGATGTGTGGAAATTGAATTTGGTATTTTTGGTTCAATATTATAAATAGATATGTAAAATAAATCGGAAAACAAATTGATTTAAGTCCATGATCAGCCGAACTAATCAATGCTATTCCATCATATAAGGATAGTGCTTTTATTATTTTGGCAACATTTATCAACTTTGTTATTTGTTGTCATGATCTTTTAAGTGTTGATAAGGGGATGTTGAAAGATTTTCTAATTTTATCACAAAATGAGAAAAATATGAAAATGATTGCCACTTAGCTGTAATCATTTATTGATAAGGGATATTTTGTAGCCATAAAATATTGAACTATATTCCCTTATAGTGAGCTGCATGTAAGTTAAGTTTATTAACTCTGTGAAAAATCTGTTGCATGCACACAATACAACAAAACTAATGTAAAATATCTCACCAACTTGGATTTTTCTTTTCATTGATTAGGTTGTTTGGACAAGTTGGGTTATATGAGAGAGAATGAACTCATTCAGATGAAATATGTCCAATTTGTTTGTCAAGAATATATATAATCATTTCTTCTATACAGTATAAATATTACATTTATCTGAATCTTATTAAAAGCATACCAAGCATGCATGTTATCAAAAGTTCTTAGTTGGGCTTGTATTGTCATTCTGAAGAAAGAAACTCTTTCTGTTGACCAAAGTTAGAGAATTTTGTTATCAAGTTTTTCTCTTCAGTCATCTGCTGTAATTGGTATATCTTTTTCTAAGAGTTGATAGCTGAAACTTATCAAATGCCAGTGAGTACTTACAAAAAACTTATGAAGATGGACTGTTGGTTTAAGGTTCTTGATATGTCCCAGAAAGGGATATATTTGAATGAAGTAGGTAAGTGGTTTTGGCTACTATAACCAAGTAGAATATGGTAGCAGTAATCAACTGGTACGCATTGTAGTCGCAGGTAAGAAGTGTAGATCAATGGCATAGTCCAATAGGCGTCGTTATAGACTTAGCTCTCAGACTAAGTCTCTCCTCTGACTCTCCTACACGTCCATTGATATTTATGACAGACACCAGCCAATCACACTCCAGTGAGGGGAACACAGGTGTATGCATATTCCATTATATCAGTTCTCAACTGGGGTCTATGTTATATTACTGGGGGTCCACTCAAAAAAACATCAAATTGGGTGTCCACAGTAATATTTTAGTGGTCCATAGAGCAATTCCTTTTTGGAATGGTTGTTACAAGTGAGAATTTGAATTTCTACAGTAATCTATGCCATATTTAAAATACTGAGAATAGAAAATCAACTCTAAAAGTAGAAGAAAACAAGATCAAGTGATGTAAGTTAGCATCTCTTTTGCTCTACCAGATGTTTTGATTGTAAAAGATGAATAAAAACTGAGAAGTATATATAAAGGAAGGTTTTTATATATATATAAGAAATTTATATTAAGATTATAATTTATTATATAAATAAGAAATAATAATATTAATTTTGAATATTAATAAAATAAAATATTAATATAAATTAATTAATTTAAAATAATAAAAAATATTACAAATAAAATTAATTTAATATATAAATTATATATAAAGGAAGCATATACATTTACTATTTCTATAATGTAGTTCATAAACTTATCTATTAGTAAAAAATAATATAAAATTTTTTTTCATCAAATGTTTATGGGGCTCCACCAAAAAAATTAAGAGTAAAATTGGTCCATGGGTAAAAACAAAGTTTGAGAACTGCTGGTCTAGAAACTTAGATTCATGGAATAGAAATAGAATAGATTTCAAATCATTGGGAACTTTTTCATTGATAATAAGTGATTTATATTATTCATAAATGAATTTAACTTTTGTTCCATTTGAACAGTGTTTTTATTCAATCTTAAAAAATATGGTAATATGTTACAAACAACCTAATATTTTAAAAAGTAATAACTTAAACAAAGTAAGATTCTTTCTGATGATAATTGATGTTTTGTTTATAATATTTGAAATGGTCTATTTTAATAATGAGTGATTTTCTGAGAAATGATTTAAAATTTAATGAAATTTTATTTTAAATTCCCAGCTGAATCCGTCCAGACTAGATACACAGACTCATTTATCAATGATTGTGCCAAAAATTGAGACCACAGACCCATGTGAGGAGGTGTCTTCCCAGAATGTGTATACAGAGCAAACATCTGATTCCATTCATATTGGAGGTTATTGTTCTACAAATTATGAACAACAAAAAAGTACTATATCTTTAGATTCTTTATCTTATCTTGTCAGAGACGACTTGCAGAATGAAGAAGCCTTGGATTTAACTCAAAATCAAAAGTCAACATTAAACTCTAAAGAATCTGATTTTGCCAATAACTGTCTTTCAACAAACAAAATATCAGACAAAAGATTCAACAGTCCAACCCAAGACTTTAGCAACACCTTACAAATGACAGAAACGCTTAATAATCATGGGAATTTATATTCTCAAAAATATTCCAATAGTTTCAGCTTATTTAAAGAAGCTGTTAAATTATCTGAAGATGGGATGCAAGTTTTTGTGATTGTTTCTCGAGATAAAAACTCTTTTTCTTATTGGGGAACAAAGAATTTTTCAGACAAATTTACCTCTTCTCAACCACTTACAAAATTTGATAGATTTACATGCTATAATGTTTTTGAGAATTTCACAACAAATACTAGTGTCCAAGTCAATAATAATAACTCTTATGACAGAATTAACCCTCTTCCATCACTGCCGACAGCACTTAGAGCAGGACATTTAAAAATACCTTCATTATATTCTTTAAAAAAACGTTCCTCCTTATCTTTTCTAAGCTCTTCTCCCAAGAAGAAAAAAAGACAATCTGAACCTGAAAGTAATAATCATTTACAAGAAAATAAAGTTAGAAAATCTAAGTCGAAGTCTTCAAAATCTGAGCCTTACCCACAGAATTGTGAAAAGACTTCAATCAGTACCCACAAAAAGGACATTACAGATGTAAACCAAGAAATTCCAACAAATAAGAAGGGAAAGAATAAAAATGATAAGTGTGAATCAAATGTGGCAAAAGAAGGAACAGGATCATCATTGCTTCAAAGGGAACGAAGTCAGGCTCTTCTTCGAATACTCATGTCTAGGAAAAAGAATCTGATGAAAAATGAAACAAATGAAAGTCTTAACCAGCAGAAAATGGAGGGTATAAATTGTAATCGCAAATCAAATTCAAATCGTTATTCTTCAGGCCTAAGCAAAAGCTCACCTGCCACAAAACTTAATTTGAGAGGCAGCAATTTAGAAAATGACAAAACACAAGATTCAAGAAACACTTTACTAGAACTGACACATAATAAAGATACAGAAAAAGGTTTAAAGAATGTAGATGGTCAAAATAAAGCACAGATTTCCATTCCAGAAGAACTACTTCTGAACAAAGAGAAAAAAAACAAAAATAAAAAAAAATTCTATACAAAAACTGAACATGCTCAAATTTCTTGAAAATCTCATGACCATCCATTAATTATATACATACATTATCATTAATTGTGCGTGTGTGTGTGAAACTGACAATATCTGAAAAGTGTTGTTCACAAGCTTCTAAAGATATTGTAAATTTTGTAACTTTATGAATGGTGAATCACATCTGATTTTTGATTATATATAAGGTTTGTCCATAACATATCCAGCCATGTTGAATATCTCAAGCACTAGTTGTGCAGCCTTGATGTAACTTAGTACTCAATCAGAAAGTACCTTACTGCACATATGCGATTAGACACTCTTCTGTGAATTCACTCAATAATATGCCATTAAATGAGCATGTGTACTGTCAAATTGTTTCAATGACTAAGCAAGTAGAATTTTCATGTCTTGTGAAATTTTTTTTTTTTTTTTTTTTGCTAAAACTTTATCATCCAGGTCTGTTAGCCGTCTTACAGTTCAAATTAGGCTGTCTGTAACTTCTGGCTTTTCTTAAAGTTAAAATTGCTGTTAAAATGTCATGAATGACATTAAGGAGAAAGCAGTGAGATAGCTGATGGTGGTTCTGAAAGAAGACTTAGTAGACTGTTTTGAAAACTGGAAGAGATGCTGGGATAAGTGTATGAAACTCCAAAGGTAAGGATGCATTAAAGAGAACTAAGGCACCACAGCCTTAGGTAAGCAATTTTTTTTTCTTTTACTAATATTAAATGGATAATTTCTGGACACACATTGTGTATTATCTGTAAGGAAGAGGGTTATTTATTTAAATATGATTATTGGAGATATACATTTTCTTAAGAGTGGAGCATTTGTGCTTTAAAGATGGTAAGAGAAGTAAAGGTTTATGTTGAACAACAAAAAAAATCCTGTAGTAACAGTATTTGAATAATAAAAACAAAACTGTTATGTAATTTATTTATTAAAAAAATCAAATACAACTGGTAAGTTTTGTCTTGTGTTATTTACTGCATACTGTGTGTATAAATGAAGCAGCATCAATATGCAAAACTTTATGCTAGATAAATACAAAAATGGATCAGTCCATCGCCTGACATGTTATTAGCTGAATTTTGATATGAAAATTTTCAATGTATAATGCTTGATTTATATTCTCTATTAAATTAAGTGCATTGACAAGGAAGGAGATTGTGTGGAAAAATATTAATGTGTAAAATAAATGCTTTTTTTATTGTTAGGCTGAAGACTTATTGATGTACTTATGTATATTACCATTGCAGTTACCCTCAAAAGTTAGAATTTACTCATTTACCAAATCTTGACAGCAGTTTAATCTATTCCTCCCTGTGTCTGTCTCTCTTCCCATATATATATATATATATATATATATATATAATGACTACCAACTTACCAACTTGCTGCATGATGATAGGTACCAAACAAGCTATAGTGGATAAGATGGTTTCTCACCACCTCTGGAAACTTGATATATTCACATGATTGTTTATAGTCATTTATAGTTTGTGCAACACCATGTGGTCTCTTAGCCTTGATCCAATAACAACAGTTAAGATAATTGGAGACTGACTGTGACACATCCAATCTGAATAGTCTTATTGGCCAGGCCATTAACAGTTGAATTATTTCACAATGATATGACATGCTATTTGCTTACAATATTGGATGTTCCCAAACAGTTCTCCATTATATGAGTATGGTTCTACAAGTCTGCAGCCTAAATTTGACCTGAAATTTTAATTGTAGATGTTTAGTTTATGTGATTAATGGAGATCTGTTAAGTGTATTGACAAATAAGGGGATTATACTGAAAAATAGATTCTTTTTTGTCACCATCAAGCAACAAGTTTTATTGATGTACACATATACCCTTTTCTAGCAACTTTATTTTATGCTATTGCACAGAGATAAATATATTAGTTATGAATATGCAATTGCAGCACAAATTTCCTGGCAAAAATTTGATTATACACCTCCTTTTAAGATTTGATCAATGAATGGTTTATTAGTTAATTGAGATCAGTGAAATTTAAAGTGAATTAAAATGTAATTTTTATTATTTTTGCAATTACTTATATTTAGACAAAAAACACAGAAAAAGAATTAAAGTATTTTTACTGTATTTATTAGTGTACAAAGGAAGACATTTTGCAGCAAAATCAAAAGTTAAAATGGCGAGAGCATTTTATACACAAGTATAATATTTTGATAATTTTGTTTAAACAAAATAATCACTATAATATGTGGATAGTGGGTATTTTTGAATGGCAGAGATCAACAGCTTTACCAACTTTTAAGTATGCAAAATAGGCTGTGTTTTATGATGCTTAAGCAAAGATTGTTCTATTTTTAGCTTGATTTTCTTAAGTGATAATAATAAATGTTTCTGAATAAAAGTTAAACTGTAGCATTTTTCTCACAAAAGATTTAACTTCTTGTTTTTTAACTACAGAGAAACTTGAGTAATTACTTGCAGATTAAGTTTAAGCACAAATTAAGCAAGATATTTTTGAAAATGATTAGAATAATAAAGACTGAAAAAAAACTATCAACCTGATTAGATAAATATGAATGGAGTTGTCTTTGACACTATCATTTCTTTGGTATAATATAGTTAGAAATGAGATTTTTATGTTGAAATTTTCTTTAACTCACTTCATATTTTGGATAAACATTTTTAAATAATTGCTTAATGGTTACCATTTATCAACTTACTTCCTATTCATAGAATTTATATAATTAATTAGGTTAAATTATGTAAACCCTTGTTTTAAGGATTGAGGCTGGTTGTGTACATGCTATATTTTATTAAAACTTCACTAGTACAGACCATTCCATGTGTCTCCAACAGAAGGATCTTTAACAAGTGTGGAAAACTCTTCTAAATTGTTTGCAATATGATTTGTAAATAAATAAACTACATTTAAAATAGCTTTACTTGTATTCCTATTAATCCCTAATCAGCTAGTGTCTCATGTTATATGATTTTTGAATATACATTATCACAATTTAGAAGAATTTTTTGTAATAAAGTGGAAATTTTCATGATAGAAAACATTACTATTTTTTTATGATACATTTTTGTAAAAATGATTGTAATAAATAATTTTTTAAGAAAATAAAAATATAATTACTTAACAAACATCATTATTTTATACAGGAATTAGTAATTTTTTTCTTCTTCTTTCAATATTGCTATGAATTTTTCAGCTTTCATAGCAAATATACAAGAATTGGATCATTATAATAATGATGAGGGTGAAGACAGACCACACATTAAGTTGCAAACTGGACTGGAAATTGTTTATTCTTTAAATTGGAACATTTTAATACTACTGCTTGAATAAAAATCTTGTATAATGTGCTATTTTTACTGTGGGTGTGGTACAATAATGTACCAAACCCACAGAAATTGAATCATTATAATAATATAATTATAACAACTATAATATATATGAACTCTTCTTTTTTAAGGTGAAAAAAATGTAAATAATTTGCATCTTTATAACAAAACATGCTTTAAAACCAAAATGCTTTTACTTCCAAATAGGAAACAAAATCTTTAGATCTTTTTTGCTTGATCTTGAATTGTGACTGAAGGCAAAAGATTTATTTGAGTATTTGCTGATTTTATAAAAAATTAATTTTGATTAGTTTCACACTTCAAAGGAAATTAATTTTATTAAATGTAGAAAAAAATGAGTATATCTATAAAATTAAGAATGGGATAAAAACAAAAAAACAGTCCCACAAGATGAAGGTAGAAAAAACAATGAAAACAAAAGAGGGGAAAAAAAAGGATAAAACAAATTTGTTTAAGTAATGCTGTTTTTATTCAATTGCATTCAGTTTAGACTTTTCACATTTTTTTTCCAAATTTCTGCAGTACATTTGTTTGTTTTTTTTGTTCTGCTGCACCAAATATTCCAATATCAATATCATTTATTGAACTGTCTTTGGTATTGTATGAGTTAGCACTCAAATCACATGTTGTACTTGGAAGGCAGAATATTTTCTTTTCTTTGTTTGGTTTATAAGCAGAAAAAACTGGCCACATGGAACAAATTTTGTTGTTCTGTGCAATAAGTTGGTCAATTTTTTCACTCAAAGGATTTTTCTCGGACCTTTGAGCAATATTTATCTCATCAGCAACAAGATTAGATCTATTAGGTTTAGAACTAAGGAGATTATCATGTATGACATTTTTTGTAGGATTGTCTCTTGTTTGACCTGACTTAGAGGCTTTCCAATGCTCATCTTTACTGTTATTACACAGTGAGTATGTGTGATCATCAGAGTCAAGAAGATCTGGAGATTTGTTCATTGCCTTTTTATCATTAACAGTATGTTTCTTACTTTTATCTGGACAAGAAAAGTTATAGTATTCTTCAGCATTATAGCATTTAATTTTATTGATGTCAACAAGAGGCTTTGACATTATAAAATTGTTAGTAAATCTTTTTGTTCCCCAATAAGTTGGACAGTGAGGCAATTCTTGGACTACCAGAAAAACATCTAATCCAAGACCTGATAGCCTCATTGCCTTTCTAAACAGAGTTATTGCAAGTTTGGCTTTTTTGGATGGTCCACGATAATCCTTTGATGTTTTTGCTTTATTATGACTTTTGTGAGTTGATGTATCAATATTCTCACTAGTGATGTTATCTTTTAAGGAGGCAATTTTTTTCTTATTTGTCTTTTCATCTGATTTAAGATATGTAAGTGTTTTAGGAGGAATAGAAGGTTGAAATGATTGAATATGTCCTGTTAAATCAGTGCCTACTTCCAGATGAACCTTTTCAATGAACTGAGAAATGCCTTCTTTGCTGAGGTTGGCTTCTGTTGGGTAAATAATCTGCTCAGAGCTTTTTGGAAAGTTAGCAACTTCAAACATAATATCAACTGCCAGGTCACCTGACTTTTCTAGATCCACCTAAAAAAAAAAACAAACTATAATCAATGTAATGTCTTATGATAAAATTATAATAGTTCACTAATGTTATATATCTGTTATCATACTACAAATGTCAAATTCTATAAGTTTTTGAAAGCATTATTATATTTTTATATAATAAAAAGTAACAAGAAAAATAGCAAACACAGAAATGAAAGATAACTTAAAATGAAATAATTTTCAATTGGGTGACCAGCAACTGACAGAGTTGTCTTTAAGATTTGTTGTTGAAGCCTACACATTTTTTTAAACTGTAAAATATTCTGCTATTAAAGTTTGGTGGTAGAAAAATGTTTAACATTCTTAAACATTTTTCTACCAGCAAAACTTTAAATTAATAGCAATTATCCTTTTTTTTCAAAAGTTTTTATGCAAAATACAAACTGTTTAACCAATTAACTTGTAAGTCAACTATAGAGATTGTCTTATCAATCATTTAGAAATAAACTAATTTTCAGATTAATTCATTTAAAAACATTTCATTGGGAAATACTTCTTTCTTTGATACTTTTTCATTTTTCATCCAGGTTTACATTGGAAAGGTAATATTTCTATAAAAATAAGTTTTGGACAAGTTTTCTTGCTTATTGTACTGTGCATGACAATATTAATACATAAAAATTAGAAACTCATTTTGATAGTAATAAATAAAAACCATGAAAGAACTAAGGTATTGTTTACTTTGTTTCCACAAAAACTTTATTTAATAGTAAAAGAAATATACTAAAGGAGCCCAATTTTGATCTTATTGCATTAGGAAGTTTTAAAAAAATCTAATAATAAACTATATATATATATATATATATAATAAAAAATATAGTTTTAAGGTATGTTATATTTATGGATTAAAGTGGTCAATATGAGGTATAGAGCATATGTAAATATACAAGAGGACACTGAAGTCAACACCTAGTGGTGAGATGGCCTGACAATTGCATTTAAACATGATACAGACTTGCCACTGGGTGTTGACTTTAATGTCCACTTGTGTATGTGTGTGTATATATATATATATATATATATATATATAGAGAGAGAGAGAGAGAGACTGAATTAGTAAAGATACTTGGCATTAGCAAGGAAAAATAAATTCAAATGAAGGAAAATATTTACCTTAATATATTTCTCCTTGCACAGCACAACAAATATTGATGCAGAAAATAAATTATAATTTCATAACTGTAGACGAGTAGACAACATTAGTGATTCTCTCATTGGGGACCAATATGCAACAGTTGTTTGGGGATCCTACTATAGAACAGCCAATAATATAGATCTTGCTATGAAAAAGCATAGTGAAGTCAAGTTTGGGCTAACAAGTCAATGAGACTTATAGAGATCCAGTATATGAACACATCCTACTTTTTTGCCTACTACAGTTCAGATAGTTGCTTCAATGACATATGGATGAAATCGTTTGACAGCTAAGCAACTTCAAAGAATTTCAGATTTTCAAGAAGCATGATGGGCATGCCAATTTTTAGTTGAAACCATTAGAGGAAAATTAAACAGCTCAAGAGAGTTCAGGAACTCAGTTTGATTCTGAACAGTCTTAAAAGCATCCAGAATTGTGCCAACTGACTTGTACATGTGAACCTCCATCCCCCAGGCCTGTTTTATACACAACTTTAAGATTATTTCATAGACTGCATCATTTTTTGGAGTAAGAATGTTTTTTGCTCACAGAGCCACTGGGCATCTTTGACATTTAAAATGGCTGAAAAAAAATGTTTAATCCTGAAAAATAATGAATTTTTTCAAAAAATGTATTTCATAATTGTATATCTTAAAGGACAAATAAATAAAGAAAAAATTTAACTTTCTTTTTTTTAACTGTTCTTTCATTTGATTGTGATAAAAATATTTTAATCCCAAACTTACCCTTTATGACATTAGAAGATCAGCACCACCTAATCTATCATCTCTTTCAGCCAATGTTAACTGTACCTACCAATTGTAATTGTTTAGCTGCAATACAATTCATAAAGTCCACAAACTAATTTAACTATAAATGAACTATTTTAACCTTAGAGGTTAAATTGGACCACAATTACCATACCATTTCTGAGATCATTTTTTGTACTTCATAGCAAACACACTATCTCACTCCATTTGATTAAAAATTGCATACTGTGATCTTTGATGACTTCTTAAATAACTGCTTACACCAATATCACTATTGGATGTCTCATGAATCTTCATGCCAACATAGCAAACTCAATATCTCACTTCCTTTTGCTAGAAATTGCTTCATTTGATTAGAAATGATATACTGTGATCTTTGGTGACCTCTGAGATCAACCTTAAATAGCCTGTTTTATTACTTGAGGTATTGTGGTTATCCATGCAAAAGAAAAAACTCATCCTCTGGGACTTTCTACTTGCCCACATTGTACAAAGATGCAAACACAAAAACCTTGACATATAGGTATTTTATTTGTTGATGTGAGTATTATGATTATTAGATACCTTAAATATATATTATTTTGTTTATCTTATCTTAGTAATTGGCAAATTTTGCAAGTAGTTAATCTACTATACCTGGGAAGATTGTTCTGTGATGACAAAGTCTTGTCCATAGGCAGAAACTATTGAGTTCAGATGATCTTGCTTGTCACTTGTAGTTTGGTCTGAATCAGAAAATTCCATAGAATTATTAAATTCATGGTCAACTTTTGTCAACTTATCAATAAGGGCATCTGTTTCTGTTGGGGTGAAAGACATTTTGATTGGAAGCCCTGGAGATAATTGAGCGATTTCAGGTTTTTCCTGCAAAAACAAAATATACATTATAGCGATATTACTAAGATGGTAGGTATCCAGATAAAAATCGCCCAGAGAAAAAAAAACCCCAAAAAACGCAATGTTTTTTCTATATGAATTTTTGAGATGATGCATTGCAGTGATTCTTGTGAATAGTATTTTTAACCACAGTACTCTGAGGAGTCTCCCATTCAGTAATTTTCAGAGAAAGTTGACAATTCAGAAATTTCTAGAAAGATAAAAAACTAGAGACAGAGGCTCAATTCCGATTTACATTATTGCTGTCTCTATTGACACATCTGTCAATTTCTGTTAACATCTATCAATAACTATTAGGTTGCAGTAAAAGTTTCCAGCATGTTTTTTTATAAAATCTTCATGTAAATTCTTAGTATCTTTATCAAGCTACCAGAATATTTTCTTTCCTTTTCAATTACCTTATGTCATCTTCCATGCACAGTGTTCATCATAAAAGAAAGATTGCAATTTTGATGCGATAAAGAATTTATTTTGAACTTATTGGAACCACTGACCAGATAAGTGTTGTATAGTGTTGTATATTAATTTATTTAAAAATGTTATGCAGCTATGTTCATGTTTGGAAAAAAAACAAAAAACATTAAGGATGATCAATAAGTACATACTCGGACAGCTGAATCTTGGTCTGAAATTTTCATTGTATAATATTTGATCTATGTAATTAATGGAGAAGTATTGAGCTAATTGCATTGACAATGAAAGAGGTTATGTTAAAAAAAATAAACATTAGTTTCAGCTGTTAACTTACTTTAGAAAATGAGAATTTTGTGGGGAAAGCTTCATCCTTGACCAAACGTTTTCCATTAAGATATCGAAAAGAAGTGTCTTCAAAATGTTCTGAACATATCACAGAGAATGCAGAAGGTTGCCATGTTGACAATGAACATTCTGTCATCTGTTTCAGCCATTTTTGGCGTTTTCTTGAGTTTCTAGGGAACCTACAATAACAAAAAAAAAAGAAAAAAAAAGAAAAAGATTATGACAAGTTCTTTCTTTTTTTACTCTATGAATGTAATATAAGCTTAGAAGATATGTAAATGCTACATATCAACTTATTATTTACAAGAGTGGTCCAATAAACCTATATCTTGATACTGTTTTTAGCTGAATTTGAATAAACAAGATATGGAATTCTACATAAAACTGGTGTTGAGAATTTTTGGATATCTATTAGGTTAAGTGCATTAAAAAGGAAGGAATATTGTAAAAGTAAATACTTTTTTTCATTATTAGGCTAAGAATTTACATGTTGTGACTTTGAAACAAGCACATTTTTAAAATAATATCTCATGATACCATTATGCTTTTAATTTTCAATCTAGTACTAACATTTTGCATATTTGAAACTCCTATGGTTAAGTCAATTTTGATTCTGCCATTAAATCTGTATATTTTTAATCTGACATTATTTATGTCTGAATTTCTGGGATGAGGATTTATCATCTGCACCTTTGGACCTGATGAAGGCCAGAGGACACAATAGTTGAAATGTTGTGATAACAACAACAAAGATGAAGATAAGTTCACATATAAAGTCTAATCTTTTGATTTAGTTTCAAATCATTGGTTGAATCCTAATTTAACAGTTTATAAACCAACTTGAAGCACCATAATCTGACAGCATTTTATATTTATTTTTCTGAAATTTAGAAATTCTTTTTAATACACCCAAAAGCATAAGCAAACAATTTTTATTATAATTTGTATAAATTATATTTAAATATATTATTCTATTTTTATACTAGTTTGTTTTCTGACATTTTGTGTTGCCCAATCAATGGGCAGGCTCCAAGTTTGCTGGATTAAAGAAGTACAAATATATATATTCATCTATGCTCTCTATGAAATATGGCACAAGTCCTTTTTTATGAAGGGAACCTTACATGTATGTGGGATTAGTGAGAAAAATTGCTTAGCTCCCTTTGAATTTTCTATTGGAACAACAAAGACATCAAGGAATAACTTTGATCCTATTTCTTTTAGAGTAATGGGTAGGTGTTGTCTGGAGTCTGGAACCATGCTCTTATACTTATTACCCTGGCTATAAAAAATTGTGGTTCTGAAGAGTATGAACTTAATTCAGTAATTCTATGTAAAACTAAGTTTTTTGCTTACATCAAAAGAATATTTTGTCAAGGTTTTTGATTAAATTTCTTCCATGAAAAATGTGATATTATAAGCTGTTGTTTAACAGTGATATTACTATCTAATAGGGATTTTTTGCGAATTGTTAAACGCTTCAAACATGAAAATCTGATTTACCTTCCTTGCATTCACTATTTTTATTGCCTTGCATGTAACCGAATTAAAACGCCAGAAATGTAGGGATAGTTTATTTCAACTATTTTCATTTAGTAATAATTGAATTAAATTTAATCCCAGTGAAAAAATACAGAGATTAATTTACCTGGAAAGATGTTTTCAACCAAATAAGCAGAAAAAAATGGACTTGCTTTTTTTTTTTTTACTTTCAACAGTTTTTCCTCCATATTCATTGTAAATTGTAAATGTCTGTTGGTTTGGGAATTAAAAGGTTGACGCTTCATACTGATGTTTCATATAATTTTTATTTGAGAACGTGAAAAACTTCATGCATGGTAGTCTGATATAAACTGTGACTCTGATACTATTCACTCCTATTTTAAGTAGGTCCGACTAAGAACTATTTTTGCTATAAACGTCCTTTGTTGCGTTCTCTCGTCGCTTGTTTATGTTATTGCTGTTTTTAACTTCTTTTCGTATCGTTGATGAATACACATTTACAAAAATAAAGGAAACAAATACAAATCTATCGCAAAATCTTACCGGCCATTATACTCTCACCAAATTACCTTTGATTTTCATTAACTATTAGTTTATAGCTCTGTATTTTGTTTATGTGAAGTAAATTAATGATAATTTTCAAAGGTAAATTTCTAAAAGGAATGTCATTTACTGGGTAAGAAATAATGTATAGTCCAAAGTCTATGGATCCCATAATTGAGTCAACCTGTAAATAAGATTTTTTTTAAGGATATAATCTGTTGAAAATGATATTTTCTACACATAAAACTTTTATGTTGAAAGTATATGACATGATGACCATCTCATTGGTTGGAAAGTAGGTGAGTTGAATGACAAGGAATTGACAGGGTTAGAGATTCAAGAATGGAAGTACTGACCACTTTCTACCAAAGCCATACATTTTTGGATAGGTCACACTCTATAATGCAAGCCTTGTTGAAGCATTCTTTTAATTTTCCTAACTTTCGATTTCCAACTTGTATTCTAACTTTGAACTAGTCCATCATCTATATAGGCTTCCAAAACCTTGGCCAGTTTCCACTCATTGTGAGAGGACTCCTCCTCTTTGACAATCATAATGTCCCCAACTCATACATTCTGTTTTAGAGATATCTGTAACATATTACATTAGCTGCTGTTGGGTATTCTTTTTCAGTTTGGTTTGCAAAATATTTCATGCCATAATTGGCACAGCCTGGAAATGATGCTGCTCCCAAAAGGTGAACCTTCATGCGGTATTCCCCAGGTTCTGAACTTGTGTCTCCATCCTTCCACCACAGGAACTGTAAGTAATCTTGGTCCTCCTTACTGACATGGAATTGGTAAAACATTTTTCTATGTCACACATGATGGCAACTGGATGTTTATGGAATCTGTACAGTACACCAATCAGCCTATTTGTTAAATCCAGACCTGTAAGGAGATAATTATTTAAGGCCGTACCTTGATACTTGGTGGATGTATCAAAATCTACTCTAAATTTTTCTGGTTTCTTTGGGTGATAGTCCTTTAATGAGGAATGTACAACACATTTCCAGTTATTGGTCATCCATCAGCATTTCCCACATCTCCATGCTTGAAGATACTCTTCATAAACTCTGTATAGTCTTTCTTAAATTTAGGATCTCTATCCATTTTCCTTTTCAGGTGTTTTAGTTGGATAGTTGTGAGATTATCTGGAAGGTTTGGTTGAATTTTAAATGGAAGAAGCATTTCAATATGGCCATATTCATTTTTTTAAGTGTTTGCTCTTAGAATACTCAGAAACTGGATATCTTCCTGAGAAATACTTTTCTCTCTCAATCACATGTCTGCAAAGTCAGCTTCAAGTGCTCTGATAGCAGCTGATGGTGTTGCTGGTGAAAGTTCCTGGATAGATATTAAGTGATAAAGACCAGTGATGCTTGAGTTCAAGCAGTATGTTGTATTTCACACAATGCTGCACCCCAGATCAGTTTTGACAGCATAGGGTTCATGATCGCCTCCTGTGAAAACCTTCCATGGGGTTAATGCTCTTAAACAGTCATCCAATCGACAGTCCCATGTCACAATCTATTAGAGGGCATCTCTTGCATGATTGTAGCAAGGTGCTTCCGCTTATTAGCTGTTTGGTGCATAGGAATGTGAAAGCATTCAAGTGGTATGAAATCTTTTGTGTAAGCAGGGGTTAGGTCTATGCAAGTATCAGAGAAGGAGCCCCTTACTCTGAGTCCAGTGACTTGGTTACTCTGTATAACTTCATTCCTTCACATCATGGTGGAAAGGCTCAGTTTTACTGGTTCCATTTTTGTTTGTAACCCTTTTCATACCTCTTGGCCAGCAAAGGTATGGCTACTCTATGTGTCCAGTAAGGCATATGCCAGGATTTCAGAAGTGGATGTGTTAGGTGATGAGATCCATACTGGAACTATCATGGAAGTACTCTCATCACCACCATCCATAGAACATGAGAATGGTGAAGTATTTATTTCATTCTACAGGCTGCCTCCTAGTGTAGGATTGACTGCTATGGGACGATTTTCATGCAGGCGAGTTGGATGTTTCCCTTTGCATAAGCTGCACATGACCTTTTTCTTAGTCTTTGGAGATATGTCCTTTTCTGCAAAATATAGCTTGTTGGCCAACACAAATTCTCTCTTCTCTTTGACAGAATTTTCTGGTTTTCTCCGCAATACATGCAATTAAACTTTAGGTAAGGTGGTTGTTCATAACCACTTAAATTCACTGACTGGAGCAACGGCTTCAGGATTATAATAGAACGAAGATGTCTGGATTACACAGATAGACTATTTTATCTGCAAAAATATATTGGTGGAGTGGCTAAGTCTTTTCTAGAGGGAAGCTGTTATAGAAAGGAGAGAGAAACTTATCAACAAGTTTGGGATAAGCTTAATTCAAGATATGGGCATCTTTTATATTGCAGCGTCCCTCCAGATAGAAATTATACAAGTGGTCGAGAGTTCATGCTAAGGGGTACGCCAAATTCAGGGCTTTTGGTGACTTCCCACAGTTGTGTAGCAAAGCTATGCCTGATATCAAAGATTTACTAATATTAAACAACTGTGATAAGCCTCAGAGCAGACACACACACACACACACACACACACAAACTGTTAACACATGAACAGACCCCTCAAACAAACCAAGATGTATGGTGAGCCACTAATTATTTTTACTGGTAAGGTGATCTCAGAAATGTGTTAAATATTGGGCTCTCTAGCTTTGGATGGCAGCCAGTCTAGGAGAAGAACCACTTTGAATTAAAAAAAAAAACACACTCTGGCAATGGAAAATCACTCCACTATCTTTCTCAAGTCAAGAATAATCATAATAGTGCACAGATTAACAAAATAGGTACCTCCACTAGGTTGCGTAAAAAAGCAGCATAGCATGATAAAAAAAGGCCCATAACTCAATGAAAACAAAGTTTTGTCATCAAAATATTTGTTATTAAGAGGAAGGACCAAAGTATTTTTTTATTTTTTGAAATTTTTTACTCCTTTCTAGCATGTTGAAAATTTTGGTTAAAAATCTTGTTTTTTTATGACAGCATTCGAAAAGAGAAAAAAAGTTTGTTTTATTTTTCGCTTTTCCCGAGGAAAACACGCGTTGATTTGGAAATTCTTGCAAAATTCAAATAATTGTCGAATTTTAATGAAACTTTCAGGAAATGTTCAGAAATGAATGAAATTATTTTAGAAACTTTTTTTTTTTAAATCTTGGTAAAAAATATTTTTTTTTTTTTTTTTACATGATTCTGTTATGGTGTGATTAGTAGTTGGGTTGATCAAATTAAATGGGGCTGCGTGTTTCAAGATATCAACATCCATACATTAAATTTAAACATCAAGGAAAAAATCAAGCTCAGTGAACATTAATAAAATATTGTATTAACAATGATATACAAATATCAACAATAGTATAAAGAAAGTTGTTCCCCTTTTTCCGTGATAAAAAAGGGTAAGTTTAGCTAATAAATGTTGAGTACAAAATTGAATGTAATTTAACTACAAAGTTCAATTGAAGTCTTAGCTAAATACAGAATAGTTCCAGTGTTTTATCAGTGTAGAAAGATGTAATGTTCATGAGTGATATCAACAGGAATTAGTATGATTACTCGAATGAGTAATAATTATGAATTAAAATGTCAATATAGCGCCGTGCCTTATTTTCCAAGAATTGAACTGCAACTGGTCTTTTTGGTTGATAAGCGAAATTCTTTTTATATCAATGGGTAGGCTCGGATAGCTTAGCGCTAGAAATATAGAAAAAGATACTAAAATACAGCGATTGGTCAGGAAATGGACCAATCCGTGATTTTAGAGAAAAATTCGAATTACTTGCGATGGTTAAATTGTCCTATAAGTATCATGTATTTATTAACCAATGAGAATTCGAGAAAATGTAGGCATGGCACTACAATTCCACCCACTTACATATTTTCATGAAATTTCGAGAAATTAAAATTTTAAAAGTGGGATTTTTTTTATTAGTTAAAAACAGGACTCTTTAGAGAAAGTAAATCACTTATTTTTTTTGTAAAACAGTCACCCATTTCATCGAAAATCTTTAAATTAATTTTAAGTTAATGACAAGTGTTGCTTTTTAACAATTAATGAGCAAACTTTGTAAAGAGCATGCATATTTACAAAATAAAATGCTAGAAAGGAAAATAATTAATGACCAAAATTTGCGCATTATTATTTCGTTTCTAGCATTTTTTTTAATTTTTAATTTTTATTTTGTAGATAATCGCGCGAACTTTGTAAAGAGCACGATTATCTAAAAAACACTTGTCATCGCTTTACGACATAACTTAAATGCGGAGTAGTTTTAGACGAGTAATTTCAGTTCTGTTAAGAGCAGTAAAAAGGCTCTTAATTAAGCCTCCGCGCGCAAAATGTTCCGCACTGAATGTAGTTAAACAAGGCCAGTAATGGCCGACAGCTGAACGCGACTGAGTTCGAACTTTTATTGTCGATAACTCCAAAATGGTAGGTTTCTTCATAATTTAATTGTTAATTCGAGTTCAGCGTGTACAATTATGTACATTTACACCGAATTATGACGATTTGGGAAAATTTTAAGAGATATTTAGCGCGGGCGTTAAAAAGCAAATTTACCCATTTTTTTATGCTAAGTAAGTAATGTTTGTTTCAAATCAGATTAATCTAACTTTAAATTTTCTAATTTTGTTCAAATAATGTGTCAAAAATATATAATTTATTTTAGGAAGAAGTTTAAAATCGAATTTTTTTTTGTTTACAAATTTCTTAAAATTTAAGAAAATGGCCACTTAAGAAATTAAAAAAAATCGAGCATATTTTTGAGATTCCAATCTAATTTCTATCTGAAGTACACCAGAATATTTTACTTACTGGAAATAATAAATTTAATCCTTTAGCTTTCAATTAATTAAAGCTAAAATAAAATCTTTAAGAATGCTTTTTCATTTTTAAAAATTCATTTTAAACCTCAGGTATCTAAAAATTGAACGGAGGTACCTAAACAAAAACAACGGTAGATTTTAACGACACCATCAGCGTTTGTTACCAGCGCTTCTCACACAACCACGTTTAGTTTTTGACTGTCACGCAATGATTACGTAATCCATTGTCATTATTGTTAATGAAATTTTAAAGTGAATTTATTAATAACAAAGAACTTAAAACTTAACTTTCAATACTAACGTAATTTATTCAAAATAAATTGCTTATTTTGATTACAAATTTTCTTTAAATTATTTATTGACACATTATGAATCGATTATTTCTAAACTAAGAGTTTGTTATTAACATTGTCATTACATGATGTACTTAAGCTGAAGCGCAAAGCGATTACATCTCCGGATTGAATTTCAAAAACCTATCGACTGAACTCATCTGAAAATTTTATTTATGGCTAGAAATTTTCGTAATATGATTATAATTACCGAATAATAAAACAAAATTCAGTAACTAAATAATTTGAATCCTCACACCTTCAATTTTTGTACTGATTACAAGTGTTCAGTGAGTGAGTTAGTATAAATCTAAACAAAAAAAGAAAGATGAACATGATGGCTGAAATTAAATTCATTCAATTGTAATGCCGAAAAACACAATTGAATACAGTGACAATACTTGATAAAATTTATCAGGTAAAAACAAATTGATGATAATAAATATACTTGATTTTGCTTCTTTACAGATACTCACAAATGAAAGGTTACGCCTTTTTTCAGACTTTTGTCTGCTCGATTTTTGCAATTTGGAGCTGCACAACTTTTAACCATTTTAAAATTGTTCAATCATTCACATAGAACCATAGCAAACAAAAATACAGGCGGTGTCTGCTGAATATTGTTTGCTATGAAAATAATTTCCGAGTTCTTCATTTGCTGTTTCTTTAATCTTTGTTAAATTTTTGGTGATGTATAAAACTGAAATTATATAGATTTACTAAGCGTAGCTTAGGTGTGGCACAAGGGTACTGGTACAGAGCACCCAGTGAGGATTTAAAAACTCACTACTCAGTCAGCTATATGAGCATTTTATGCTTACTCTCAAACTAATAAGAGAATAACATCCTGAAGCCATTTACTACTGTAATGTTGACGATTTTTTTATATGGATGCATGGCGAGATCGCTCTACATGACTTTTTAATTACATATATAAACAATTACCACAAGAGCTTCAAATTCACATTGGAATATTCTTCTACAAGTATTCCTTTTCTAGACGAATTAGTATGCATCACCAACAAGATACCCATATCACTTTTCAAATCATAGACAGTCACTATTATTTAAATTTTGATAGCTACCACCCAACAAGTACTCTAAAGAGATTAATAATTTATAGCCAATGCTTACTTACACATCAAAAGAATTTGTTTGGATACCAAAGGCTACAGTATACATATAGACTCACCCATTAACCATTTTTAGAATAGAAATTACCCTCTAAAAATAATCGAAGAAAAAAAAAGTTTGTCACGTACTAGAAATAGTCTTTTAGTCTTCAAAAGAAACAGCATTTTCTGTGTCCATAAAAAATTTAAAATTAATAGTAGCATCAAAACAACATTTATAATAAAATAATTATAACAATTATAATTAATTCACTCATTCTAAACCATTGGGATCAACCTCACTTTTTTTCTTTACACACTAAAACATGTGACGTTCTCATTATTGGACAAGCAGTACACACAGACAGGTCGTTAATGTGTGCATCAACAAAAATTTAATCTCCTTTTCTGTTTTCAGTCAATAATACTAACATTTATCTTTTAGCACTCAACAAAAATTCAAGGTAAGAAAAACCCAGACACTTGTATTTTTCCATCTAAATTATCTGGACAGCCATTACACAGAATATCTCTCTCTCTCTCTATATATATATATATATATAAAACATACAAGAAAGACTGTATACACCTTACTTATTCTTTATTTTAGCCTTCTGTTGGATTCCAATACATATTTGATCTACATTTGACCTCAAACTCATAATTTAACTCAGTATTACTGTTTCTTTTTTTTCTCCAACACAAAATAACAACCAGATAATAAATAATACATGTTTTTTTGTTGTTTCCACGTCTTGCTGTTTCTCATTTTTACGAGTATTTTTGTATATATAAATGTTAGGGAGTTTATAATTATTTATTTAGAGTTATTACTCCCCTACACCTATGAATACCCATTATATTTGGTTTTATTCATAACAGAAACAATATTATTTTGTTCCCTTAAAAAAAACTTCCTTAATCTTAAACTAAATCTCCCAATTAATAATGTATTCAGCAAACCTCTACTTGATACAAGACGACAACCGCTCAATTTACTATCACTACTTGCATTTCCAAAACTGAAACAACCAAATACTCTGATACAATTATGCATGTAATAAACCACAATACCAAATCTGTAAGCACACTGCCATTGATACAACTTACATTCCTCTAGATAGAGAAGTTAAAATACACCCCCTTTACCTGTGACAGCTTGAACGTAGTCTAACTGATTGTTTGCAATGTCTGTGGCAGTCATGTTGGTGAGACTGGTTCTGAATTTTAACTGATTCAACAATCATAAAAAGACAATTGGAGACAACTCTAATTACTCTACACATTTCAACTTAACTAATCATATGTTAGATGTGTTCTTCTGGTCTCTTCCTTTAATTCTCAGAACAGCCATGGAAAAGCGGAAAGTAATTTCATTATCAAACTTAATATCCACAATTTAGGATTAAATAAAGACCTAGGAATTCTCAATGATTATGCATTTTGTAAAAATAACTGAAATAGCTGCCTTATTTTTTGTGTTAATAGCATAGGGTTAAATTTTTTTATAGTACAACTACTACTACACGGAGAAATATGCAAAACATATCAATGGCGGGACTGATAGGATCGTTAAATTCGCTGGACGACCCAGAACACATAGAAACATGGATAAGAACTTTTGCTGCATTTGCAAGAATTAAAAAATTAAGAGAGACAAAGACCGATGGAGGAGAGAACGAAATAACAGCTTTTATTTTTTGTTACTGCTGGGTGTAAAAATATGAAGAAAATTTCGACAATGTGTTACCCGAACGAATGAGAAGAAATGATATTTGAAGAAATTATTAAAATTATAAAAAAGAACATAAGACCAATGAAAAGATTCGTCATCACCGAAAGAACCAAGTCTTTAGAGACAAGCACCCAATGAGTCCATTATACAATAAACAAGTCAAATATTGTGAATTTGAAAAATTGGGATCACGAGAAATGACTGTAGAAGATGAATTTAATCCTTCTCAGAAGGAGTGAAGGCTTGAACGACCAAAACCACAAACGAATGTCTACAGAGTAGTAGCATGAGTTTGGAAGCTAGCATAGAGTTTTTACAACAATTAGAGTTGATTAGAGAATTTAATCAGCCAAAAGAATTCGAGGCGTACAAGACAAGCATGACCAAATCCATAATTAAATGTAAATATTGTTGAAAAATCACGAGAGACAAGTACAAATGTCCAGCTCTAGGTAAAATATGCTCAAATTGCAAAAGAAAAAAAAAAAAGATATTTTTTCAGATCGTATACAAATACGAAAAGAAAATTTTAACAGTAAAAACGGTACAAACCTCCTCCGAAGAGGAAGCTGGAATGAATGCACAAAAAAGTAGAGAAAAAATAAGGATAAATGGCCAAATATTTAACATGCAAATTGATACAGGCAGTGAAGTCATGTTGATACCAAAAAGATTTTGGATAAAATTAGGACGACCTAAATTTAAAAAAAAAAAAAAAGAGCAGCATTCAATTAAAGCAATTTGATGGAACGACTATAAAAATAATGGGTACATTTCAAGGCAATTTTAAAACCGACAGGCCTTTCGAAAAAATTTCCATTACACTTTGACTTGTAGAATGGGAAAAGATCATAGATTACTAGGAATTGATGTAGATACAGCGAGACTAATCAATCCCATGAAAGCAGAAGAAAACGAGATTGAAAGGCTAAAGCATGCATTCGACTAAAAGAAAATTATCACCCAAAATATATAGTCAAAAGTTCCAATTCATATCCTACTTTTGGTAGTAGCTAATAAATTAAACAAAATGATACAAGGCATACTAGAAAGATTACCATCTTAAAATTCTTGACAATGTGACTTTTGGCAATTCTTTTCTTGAATTCTAATGGTTTGTGGTCCGATTTTAATAAGAATTTTTTACTATCAAAAAAAAAAAAAAAAAGAAAAAAAAGTTTAATGCCCTTTCAATGCTCCATGCAAACGCTAGTGTTTCTTTTTCAATATTCGAGTAGTTAGTTTCTGCTGACGTTAACCTTGGGTGTTCTTGTGATAGAATAGCAACAATCGCCTTTTCACTCGTGACTGGGCCTCACCGATAGTAGCGATAAAGAAACCTGACAGAGATTTAAGGATATATAGTGATTTCAAGATAGGGGTAAATCATTAGATATGTTCAGACTCTTTGCCAAATATCGAAACTGCGAATCATGAGTTAGCAAAAAAAAAAAAATGGAACACTTTGTAAAAATTGATTTCAAGGCAGCCTACAACCAAATAGAAATTGACGAGAAATTCTAGGAAATCACCACGATGAACACCCCTATAGGCTTACTAAGATGGACTCGTTTACCGTTTGGGCTAAAGACTTCGAGCCATATTTTTCAAAAAGCAATTGAAAGAGTCTTAATAGAAAAAATAAAAAAGATATAATAATATACCAGGACGATATATGTGTAGGAGAAAGAACTAAAGAAGAATTAAAATATAAAACAGAGCAAATTTCAGGGAGGTTAAAAAAAGCAGGCATGACTGTAAATAAAGACAAGTGCAATTTTGACTAAGATATGTTTATCAAATATCGAAAGAAGGCATATCACCCGACGATAGACTAACAAAGAAAACAGCAGAAATAATAGCTGCTCCAACAAATAAAAAAGAATTAGAATCCTTTTTGGTGCTAATAAATTTTTATAGTAAGTACATACATAGCAACATAAGAGCCATTTGCAAAATTATGCAAAAAAAACAAATAGCTGGAGACAAAAGCAAACTATCACTTTTGAAACACTAAAGAAAATACTGAGGAACAAACCAATAAGTTTTTGATCCACAGACGCGGGTGAAAAGGCGATTGTTGCTATTCTATCACAAGATGGACACCTAAGGTTTAACCGAACGTCAGCAGAAATCAACTACTCGAATATTAAAAAAGAAGCACTAGCGATTGTATGGAGCATGGAAAGGGCATTAAACTTTTTGATAGGAAAAAATTCTTATTAAAATCGGACCACAAACTATTAGAATTCATATTTAACCTGAGAAAAGAATTGCCAAAAGTCGCATCGTTAAGAATTTTGAGATGTTCAATAAAAATCATGGCATTCGATTTTGGTATATACGTAAAAGGGAACACTATCCCTCACGTAGACGCTCTATCAAGATTACAGTTCAAGAATGAAACAGGAAATACTGAAGATAGAATAATACACTGGTTAGAAACGGATGTTCTTCCTCTACACTCAAAATAGAAACAAAGCAAGACCCAATATTAAGCAGAATAAAAATAATATATGGAGCAATTGTTTGATGTCAGAGCGACCCTTTAAAGAAGCGAATCACAAACTAACTATAGAAAATGGCATAATATGCAATGGGGATCTCCACAAATACTGAGAAGGGACATATTAAAAGGAGTAAATAATGACGTGCATTGTGGCATAATAGCAACACAATGAAGACTAAAGTTACAAGCCTGGTGGC